CCGCGGCCCGCTCCCTCCCCGGCCCCGCGCCTCCCCGAGCCACGGATCTGGGTGGGACTGGGGCTTTTTACTGCTCCACTCCAGCCCAGGCTCATTCCCTTTTCATCCCTCCCTCCCCGGCCGCCTCCCGCGCTCCCTGGTAGATCAGGGAGATGCCGCAGAGATGCAGTAACGAATCCACCCGCCCCGCCACGCTGCTCGGAGCACGGCTTCACGCAGGCCCTGCAGCAGCCTGCATGGGCAGCAAGACGGTCGCTCTGGGCCCTCTCTCCCAAACTCCCCCCAGATGCAGGGTCAGCAGCCGAGCCTGGCAAATGCACCGCAGGGATGCGAAGGGATGGGCAGGGCACGGTCGGGTCTGAATGGGCTGCGGCCAGGTCTATCGCATCACCCTGGCATCGCAGAGATCAGGAGGGTGGCACTGAGCGGGCGGCTCCCGCATTGCCGTTCTGGGGAGGGAATCCACGCCCCAGGACGACACGGGGACTTGGCAAGGGCTTGGTACGGGCCCGCTGGCAGGGGCTGCAAGCTGGCGTCATTCAGCGTGGCTATGCGGGAGGAGCAGCGACCCGCCCACGTCGGGCCAGCAGCCGGCTCTGCAAACCCAGCCCCTGGCGCGGAGAGGCCTCCAAGAGAGCGGGGAAATCCTGGGAGCCGGCGAGTCACCGAGCAGTGTTTGAAAGGCGCCTTCTTGCATCCTCTGCCTGCTCCCGGGAAACGGGCGCCCTCGCGCTAGCCCAGCCGCAAGCCGGGCCCCCCGCAGGCAGGGCATCAGAGAGCACCAACGCATCCTTCCCCCCCCCCGTCCACGGACCTTGAGGAACTCCAGGAACGCGGGCTTCGTGAGACAGGCCTTCTTGATCACCGCCATGGCGTTGGTGAAGTTATTCACGTAATCGCTGTACACGTCCAGCACCATCGACTTGGAAAACTTGGCGCATGCACAAGGAATGGGACAGGCGGGAGAGAGGGGAGAGTCAAATCCAGTGTCTCGTCACCAGCGCCACATAACGTGGCCAGCTCCCTGCAGACCGCCAGCAGCGCAGCCGGAAAACCTGCCCCCCCTCTCGCCCCCACCTCATGCTGGCCTAAGGCATCTGCATTCAGACACCCAGAGCTTCCGTTTCCACCTGCAAGGAGGGCACCCCCAACACACAGACCACGAGGGGTGCTGGGTCTGCCCCACACCGCAGAGCAGTCCGGGGGTATTCCCACTTTAATGGGGGGCAGCTGACCACTCGCTCTTAGGCCAGAAGACTGCGATCTCAAATTCCCCACCAAGATCTGGGCTTGCACCCGGCCTCGGCAGGGCTCCCAGCCAGGGACCAGAGTTCGTACAAGATCGCCGGAGCCTCCTTCGCCTCCAGCAGCTGCTGCAAGGAGTCTGAGCCATGGGAGCCCACATG